AAATTTTATTTAAGAAATTCCAGCGTCTCGACCGATTTTACCGATGTCAATGTTTAAATGAAATTTGTCTTGTATTTCGCGCTGTCCGTCATGGAATCAGAAGGCTTAATACCTTTTAGTCATCCCCGATACGGTATTCCTATGAGTATTATAATTTATTTGCTGCTTATTTACCAATTTCAATGTAATTCTATTATTTAGCTATTGCTATGCTTTGATCTTATAGGAGCTACCGTGTAACGAATAGCTGTAGAACGATGTAATTTAAAAATGGATGTGATAGATAGTTGTTAGAGCAGGTCGCATGCTGTTTTTATTGGACTTTAAAGTTGGCTGTATTGCATATGTGTTTTCCGTTCTCATATAGTTATTTAGGCTGGACTGGTGAAAGCATCTGTTTCGCCGGTGAGTCCGCCGGTGGTACGCTGGTCGCTTCTCTTTGTTTGAAAATAATCGAACTAAACCTACCTCTGCTGCCTGACGGTCTTGTTATGGTATATACACCATACTTGCTGAAGTATGCACCATCTCCTTCGAGGCTGCTTTCGCTTATCGACCCCCTGTTATCTAGCAACGTCATGGCGAACCTTGTGGACGGTTGGTTCATTTTTGTTGCAAATGTCATGTTTATCATATTCTTGTTTTAGCCTACGTACCGTCCGCTGAGCAGTCACTTAGAGACGAAGATTGTTGTGATTACACCGCGGTATTAAAGACCACTAAACTACTAACGGATACCAATAAATCGAAAAGGCTGACTCTCGTAGACTATTTCAACAACGTCTGCAAGCAGAGGTGGTCGTCATCAAACGGGCGCAATGTCGAGTTCGTCTTGGACGACGAATCAGACCGAGTCGTGAATTTGGTGCACTTCAACAATATCGTGCCGGACCAAATGTCACCGGAAGCTAGTGTAACTAAAGGCATTGCTGATAAAACAACCTCGACATTCTCCAACGACCCTCTCGCTAAAACTTATTCGCTGATGGACGACGAGGAGAGGAGGTCTGCTAACAGCACCGAGTTCATGATCGTCAATGTGCCAGAAAATGCGCGGACGATCGCCGTCACTCCTGGAGCCTACGACGAAGAGTTTCTCGACTACCTTGTAGCAAATTTGCACTCTTTGCCGCACCCATTCACTAGCTCCAGGGAAGTCGTCCCCGTAGGCATCAGCCAAGCGTCGCCTGAACATGCTGTCACGTCTGCCCGTCCACATACCTTTAAGTGAGTTTCGAGATCGTTTCTGATATGAGTCACCAACACCGCAAGAACTACCAACTCCGGAGATTGACCATCAGTATTGATGCTGATTTGCCCTTCCTTCACTCAGTCTAGAAAACTCTATGAGAATTTGCATCGTATGGATCCATTCTCTTCTAAAATTCTTTATCTGATGAGGATGCCAAAAAGTACTATGAGATATAGGATACGAATTATCTGAGCGTCGTCAAAGTCATGAAGAAGCATGGTTGTTTTCGAGTTTGTAAATGGGCAGTTTATTCCTGCACATTTGTTGCCTTGCATTGCGCGTCAATTTTTTCCACTTCTGCTACTATCACAGGGCACAGAGTTGGAGAAGGTAAAATTAGGTGTTTTCTGTTTTGACTGAACCCATCGCTTGCTTGAATGTCCAGAACATCGCATGTTCGTTGTAAAACGACCTGCCGCATCTCTTCAAACGCGACCACAGGCAGGAAAAACCAATAGGAGCAGCTGAACAGATTTCTTTCGTATTTTCACAGTCTTGTTGAAATTTGTATTCGTGAGTTGGGCTCATTTTGTATATTGCCGTTTTCCACATTTACTAGGCATAATTGTATCGTCTTCTTGCTTTTAGATGCCTAGGAGACCTTTCCGCAGGCACTGCTCGATGGTATTTAGGCATATCTAGCATGCGGATGCCATATTGCATGTGCTGGCTTGTAGAGATACGCCTTACAACACTAGCTGAATTGGACCGAGCTATGGCCCCTCAAGTGCCAAATGAATAATGCCTTTACTTGGTGGCGGTATCGAAAAGGGGTGTTTTGGTCAGGCCCCAGAATAGCATGGTTATTATTGATGCATGTACTGATTTGGATTCCTTGTGTTGTTAAGCATATGTCTCAGCGATAGAATGATTATACGCAAAATACAGAAGGCTGATGTTAAAGTCTATTTTTTCCTGCAAATGTATTGGCTGAATAAAATTGGCT